AGTATTTTAAAAAAGGAGTGGGGCAGGGCGGGGCATGGTGGCACACACCTTTAATCCCAGCACTCGGGAGGCAAAGGCAGGCGGATCTCTGTGAGTTCAAGGCCAGCCTGGTCTACATAGTGAGTTCCAGGACAGCTGGGGCTACAGGGAGACCCTGTCTCAAAAAGACCAAAAAAAAAGAAGTGGGGAAAGGCTTCCCTGTGGGCACTAAGATATGGTTATGAAAAAAATAAGTTCCAGTGTTCTAATGTGTGGTAGGGTGAGTATAGATAATAGTGTTCCATGTTTCAAAAATTAGAGTTTAAATATTTTCATTAAGAAGAAATATTTGAAGAGGCTGATGTGTTTACTGTGATTTGAACATAACCCAGTATATAAATGTATTGTAACTTTGCAAGATTGCTCATTGATATGTATAATTTCTGTGTCAATTAAAAATAGAAAATCCTTTGGGGCTGGAGAGATGGCTCAGCGGTTAAGAATGCTGGCTATTCTTGCAGAAGATCCGGGTTCAAATCTCGGCACCCACATGGCAGCTAACAACTGTCTGTAACTCCAGTTCCAGGGGATCCGACAGCCTCTTCTGTCCTCCACAGGCATTGCATGACACAGGTGCACTCACCTACATGAATACACATAGAATAAAAATAATAAATAAAATATAAAAAGAAAATCCTTCCTATACAATGGAACTTTATTCAGAGATAAAGATGAATAATTGTATCATTTGCAGGAAAATAAATTCAGCTGGTGATTATATTAAGCAGACAGGGTCAGACTGAAAAAGACAAATATGGCATATTTTCTCTTATTTGTGCATTATAGATTTTTTAATATTTTATTTATTTTTATTTTATGTGTATGCATGTATTGCCTGAGTGTAGGTAAGTGCACCTGTGTCGTGCAGTGCCTTTGGAGGACAGAAGAGGCTGTCAGATCCCCTGGAACTGGAGTTATGGACAGTTGTTAGCTGCCATGTGGGTGCTGGGATTCAAACCCACTGGTTAAGAACAACCAGTGTTCTCAACTGCCAGCCCTCATTTATAGATTTTTCATAGTTATATAAAATAATGCATGCATATATGACAAAGTAGAAGCCAAGCTGTCCAGGGCGATGAAAAGCACTAACAGAACTGGGAGAAGCAGGCAGGGAGGGATTCAGGGGCACATGGTCCAAGTATATGTTCTTATAAGAAAATGTCCATATGAAACCTGTTACCATATGCAATCGATGTGCATCAGTTAAATGAAGTGAAAAGAAATCCTTAAAGATAGAAAGGCCATGCATGGTGGCACACACCTTTAATCCCAGCTCTCCAGAGGCAGAGGCAAGCAGATCTCTGAGATTGAGGCTAACCTGGTCTACATAAGGATTTCCAGGCCACATGGGGTCACAGGGAGACCCTGTCTCAAAAAGACCAAAAGAAAGAACAGGATTGTTAAGGCATGTTAAAAGGAACATGGCTTTCTTTAGCTGCTATGGACTTTCACTCTTAGAAGATGAAAACTTGGTGGTGGGGGTCACAAAGTAAAGCATTTAGCATGTCTGAGCTGGGCACCTAAATATGGCACTTTCTTAGGGCAGAGTAGCTGTGGTACAAGGGGACATGGGTTTCTTTCTTGATCTGCCTGTGGTTACATTGGATTTGCTTTAAATTCAATTAACCAAATCCATTTTATGCTTTTTAGCTTATGAAATATTACAGTTAACTGGAATTTATTTCATTCTCAGTTCTTTGCGCCCCGCTATTCGTTGACTCTCATGTGAACCTTTTTCGCTTGTTTGAACGCACCCTCCAGTGAGTCAGAAAACTCTGGGATGCTAAAGAGTGAATATTAAGGCTTTCTTTTCTTTTTTACCTCCTTCTCCTTCCCCGTTCTCCCCTCCCCTCCTCCCGAGTCACCTCCCTCTTCCTTTACTTCCTCTTCCTCTCTTGTCTCCTCTTCCTCTGCTTCTCCAAGCTCCCACTTCCTCCTCCTGATTCCTCCTCCTCCTGATTCCTCCTCCTCCTGATTCCTCCTCCTCCTGATTCCTCCTCCTCCTGATTCCTCCATCTCCGTCTCCGTCTCCGTCTCCGTCCCCGTCCCCGTCTCCGTGCTAGGGATCAAACCAGGGACTACACACAGTAGAATTTGATCACTTCAGTGGGTTTTGTCCCCCTTGTACCTGAATTGAAGATACTGCATGGTGTTTGAACCTAGATAAACATTTATTGCTAAACATTATTTGCAAATTTTCTTTGGGCTGGTAATTTTTTCTCAATGTATATTTTTATTGAATTTTTGTATATTTCATACAATACATCATAATCATATTTAGACTACTTCCCAATCTGCACCCTCCCATACCCCCCCACCAGATTTCATGCAGTCTGTCATATATGTTAAGGCCTATCGAGTCAAGCTGGCCTGGTGTGAGTTCATCCACGGGAGTCTAGTCAGACCATCTAGAGTCACTCCCTTAAAGATGATCAGCTCTCCCTAAGTGTTAATTTATATTAAGCATTCTCAATGGGTTTTGTAGATTGATGCCTATCTTTGGGTACAAAGCATGATGCTTGGTGCATTAACTGGAGGAAGCTTTGGCAGTTCAATGCTATTTCTCTTGCTTGCAGACTACAAGTTTTGAGAGTCTAGATGTGGAAAAATGTGGTAGTCACTAATCACATATGGTAGGGTTATTAAGCACTTAGAATGACTGACAAGTTTTTAGTTTTAAAGAATGCAAATTTTAATCTAATTTAACTAATTCAGTTAATGCTCCCTCACCCAGCAGTAGTCAGTTGCCAGCCGTTCCTCAGCTAAGGTTGGGGCCTGCTGCCCATTCCCCTAGTTCTATGCTGGATTTCTGTCTAATTGAGCAGGGGTCTTATGCAGCTGTCACTCTTGTTGCAAGTCCCTATGAGCAACTTTCCAGAGGCCTAAAAGCCTCTGTTTCCTTACTCTCTAGCAGCAACCCCGGCTCTTACAATCTTTCTGCCCCCTCTTTTGCAATGGTCCCTGAGCCATGGTGGGTGAGGTTTAATGTAAGATTCCTATCTAGGGACGTGCACTCTGCAGTTCCGTATTCTCTACAACTAGGACAGTTGTGGCCTTCTGTGTATGAGGCCACACTCTGTTGTGTGAGGAAGCTTTGATGGTAAGAGTTGAGGGATGTGTTAGTGTTCTCTCTATCCCAGTTCCACCGTGCTCCATGAACCTCCACTGTAGATGTGCCACTTAGGACTGAGCATCTCTCAGACATATATGTGACCAGTTGTGGAACCCTGTAATAGTCTCCATCTCTTGCAGAGTGGTGTACAGTATACTCATTAAATATAAAGATCTATATTTAGCACACAGTAAGAAATTTCATTCATCCATGGTGTTTTCTCTAGGATCTATGACCTCTCCAGTCATGTGTATTTGACTATATTTATAGTGCCACCCATGAGTTCCCTCCCATTGAGAGGGCTTTAAGTCTGATTAGGTAGCTGTTGATTGCCCTCTAGATAAAAGTACCACTACTGTACCAACGGTTTGCTATGCCAGGCATTGTGGTTATTAGACTTTACAGCTGAGTTTGACCATTAATTTTCTCCCTTAGCAGCTTGCATAGTATCCTTAGAACTAGTTGGATAAATGTCTCAGCAGTTAAGAGCACTGGCTGCTCTTGCAGAGGACCTAGGTTCAGTCCCAGCACCCATATGGTGGCTAACAATCATCTGTAACTCCAGTTCCATAGGCTCTGATGCCCCCTCCTGATCTCTATAGGCACCACATGACATGGGTGCACGTACATACACACAGGCAATACACTTATACAAAATTATAAAATATTTTAAAAAGGCTCTGATGCCCCCTCCTGATCTCTATAGGCACCACATGACATGGGTGCATGTACATACACACAGGCAATACACTTATACAAAATTATAAAATATTTTTTAAAAAATAGCCGGGTGTGGTGGTGCATGCCTTTAATCCCAGCACTTGGGAGGCAGAGGCAGGTGGATCTCTGTGAGTTCGAGGCTGGCTTGGTCTACATAGTGAGTTCCAGGACAGCTGGGGCTACAGGGAGACCCTGTCTCAAAAAGACGAAAAATTAAAATAAAATTATTTTGTGTGTATACCTGTATTACTTGCATGAAGGTAAGTGTACCTGTGTAGTGCAATGCCCGCAGAGGTCAGAAGAGGCTGTCGGATCCTCTGGGACTGGAGTTACAGACAGTTAGCTGCTACATGGGTACTGGGATTCAAACCTAGGTCTTCTGCAAGAACAACCAGTGTTCTTAAGCCCTGAGCCATCTCTTCAGCCAGGGTCTATTTTTTTAAATTTTCTCTATCCCCCCCCACATTGGGAGCTTTATTGAGTTGAATGTTGAAATTTCTGAAGGTATTAACATTGTCCTAATTTTGTCTTCATTTCTCTAAATGGTGTTTAAAATGTACCCCTTGACCCCTCTGGTTGCCCAAAGTTTATTCTTCCTATCCAGGACCAGAGTATACAAACTGGAAAGACCCAAGGCTAAACAGACCTTTCTTGCTTTTAAATTCAAAATTTAAAAATTACACTACCTACCCCCTATCTTTCAGGAATCCATCCACATTTTCATGCACCAGAGAACACTTCTGTTCCTTTCATTTTTAAAGTCCTATGACTTAGTCAAGTTAGATCAGGCATTGTTTAAAACATTCAGGATCCGTCTATTGAAATTTATATAGACGATCTCACAAGGGCACAGGGCACTATTCAATTCTGACAAGTGTCTTGGCTAGTGTGTACCTCTAGGTATATGTGGCAGGTACAAAGGTGGAAATTTTGATACATCTCCCAGCATTATTACTACTCTGATTTATCATCATCCCTTCTGATCTTTGCCTTAGCATAAAGTGACTTTTAGTGACCAGAACTAGAATACACGACATCAATCATTTCCTGCCGTCTTAAGTTGAGAGTTTAATCATATCATTTTCCCCCTTCTACCCTCAGGTATCACTTACTTTATGACTCTGAAGCTTGTTTCCCTCTGAAGTCTGAGATTACAGTCCAAGATGGCAGAATCAGATTTCTCTCCGTATGACTGGGTGCACTACCTGAAAGAACTCAAAGATGAAGAGTTCCTGAAATTTAAGGAGCTCCTCAGGGAAGAGCCTGAGAAATTCCAACTCCAGCCGATCTCCTGGTCTAAGCTCCAGAAGGCTTCAAAGGATGAACTGGCAGAGCTACTGGATGAGCATTATCCAGGCCAGCAGGCGTGGGAGATGATCCGGGGCCTGTTTCTACAGCTCAATCGGAAGGATCTCTGCACAAAGGTTCAGGAGCAGATGGCCAGTAAGTGAAGTGTGGAAGGGTGGAGATCCTCGGGGGCAGAAGTTAGCCAAGTAGTAGCTTCTAACTGAAGATGATGTCACTGTTGAATGAGTGACTCATGCTCCAAGAATTGATAAGAGATTGCAGTCCAGTGTCAGCTTTGGAGGTAGAGTGACAATCATTATCCACCACCAACTCCAAACTGGAGGTGGATGGTGAACCAATGCATACAGTTGTTACCAATAAAAGAAAATTTAGGGGGGCTGGAGAGATGGCTCAGTGGTTAAGAACACTGGTTGTTCTTACAGAAGACCCGGGTTCAAATCCCAGCCCCACATGGCAGCTAACAACTGTCTGTAACTCCAGTTCCAGAGGATCCAATAGCCTCGTCTGACCTCCGTGGACATTGCACGACATAGGTGCACTTACCTACATGCAGGCAATACACACATATACATAAAATAAAAAGAATAAATTAAAAAAAATTTAAAAAAGAAAATTTATGATCAATTGAAACAAATAAGGCAGGTCCAATTATTAACCATTAATATGTTGTTTTCTTTGGCTGTTCTTTCTTACATTTAAAAACATTTCTTCTATAAAGCAATAGAGTTCTTCGGCATTTTACACATAGTTTTTGTTGGTCTTTCCACCTTAATCTAAGAAATTTCCATGTTTCTGTTCCAAACCAAGTCAATTCTATGGCAGGATGACTATGAGGTCATGCCTGATGACCAGGTTCCCTGACATGAGCCCCTTTGCTCACCCACACAGGCCCACAGGCATGCTTACAAGCATACAGGTGCACACACACACATGCAATCATACAGACAGGCACACATACACATAGAGATATATAGAGCAGGCAGGCACAAAGCCAGGCACACAAGCAGGCAGACGGACACTCAGACATACAGAGAGACAGACCAGCTTGCAGACATACAGAGAAACAGACAAGGAGCAGTCAGGCACACAGCCAGCCAGGCAAACCAACACACAGCCTGACACATAGCCATCCACACACAGAGACCAATACACAGACCTACACAGACCTGCACAGTCATCTAGACAGACATGCACAGAGAGACAAACAGGCCCATCTAGAGATATAGCCAGCCATACCAGCCAGTCAGCCAGCCATACCAACCAGTCAGCCAGCCAGCCAGCCAGCTAGCCGTCCAGACAGTCAGCCAGCCGTCCAGACAGTCAGCCAGCCGTCCAGCCAGTCAGCCAGCCATACCAGCCAGTCAGCCAGCCATCCAGAGAGACAGACAGCCATCCAGAGAGACAGCCAGCCATCCAGACAGACAGCCAGACAGCCAGACAGACAGCCAGCCAGCCAGCCATCTACCCAGCCATCTGGCCACCCATCCATCCATCCATCCATCCAGCCATCCATCCATCCATCCAGCCATCCATCCAGCCATCCAGCCAGCCATCCATCCAGCCAGCCATCCAGCCAGCCAGCCATCCACCCAGCCATCCACCCAGACAGTCAGCCAGCCACCTAGACAGTCAGCCAGCCAGTCAGCTAGGCAGGCAGGCAGCCTTCCAGGCAGGCAGGTGGCCATCCAGATGCGTCCATCCATCCATCCATCCATCCATCCATCCATCCTCCCATCCATCCATCCACCCACCCATCCACCCATCCACCCTTCCATCCATCCATCCACCCACCCATCCACCCATCCATCCACCCATCCACCCATGCATTTACTCATGCATCCACCCATCCACCCATCCACCCATCCACCCATCCACCCATCCACCCATCCATCCGGACGGCCATCCATCCTGATGGCCATCCACCCGGCCATCCACCCAGCCAGACAGGTGCCCACCCAGCCACCCAACCACCCAGCCACCCACCCAGCCAGCCAGCCAACCAGCCAGACAGTGCCAGATACAGAGCCAGGGTCAGTCATCTAGACAGATTCACAGATAGCCATCCAGCTATGCAGCCAGCCAGAGAAACACACAGACACACACATACCACCACCAGGCAGACAAGCAGCTGGGCAGGCATGCACAGGGGAACATGGACAGATGCATAGACACAGATAGATGGGCGTACATGCAGATGCAGGCACACAGGCAGGAAGGCAGGCAGACAGCTTGTGAAAAATTCTTATGGGTTAAACTAGAAATAAGCTTTTAAGATTTGTGGATTGAGGATCTTCTGCCTCAACTAAACATTACTAAATTCCAGTGTCCTTAAAAGTCACATGAGACTCCCCTACTCCTTCAGGAGTCCTCATGGAGTATGACATTTGAAGGGACCACCATTTCTGAGAGGCAGGTTTGGGTTCTTATAGCATATCCTGTATTGTGTATACAAATCTTACTCTGGTGCACATTTTCTCTAAACAACATATGGTCCTTATCTGTATGGTTTTTTAAAACTCTTCTAATTAGTCACTTTGGATGTGGGGTATATACAGTAAGGCAGGTTGAAAGAAATTTCTGGAATTAAGTATAGTAAGCCTGGTATATTTGAAATGACCTAGACCTTATGGTTTTCCAATTAAGTAGCTATGGAATTCCACTTGATCCTGATATTTATTCACCCATCCAAATTCATTGAGTCACATAAACTCTCAACACATGAGTTTTTAGATTTATCTGTTTTAGACTTTTAGATTATTTTTAATTATGTGTATGTGTATGAGTATATGCGTGCAGGTTTCAGCAGAGATCAGAGGCATCAGATCCCCTGGAGCAGGAGTTACAGGTAGTGATAAACCACCTAACATGTGTTGTGGGAGCAGAACTCGGGTCCTCTGCAAGAGCAATATGCTTTTAACTGCTGAGTCATCTCTCCAACTCCTATTTATTAATATGTATGAGTGTGAGTGGAGACCAGATGGCAACTTGTGGGCGTTGCATGTGGGTCCTATGGATTGGACTCAGGTCATCAGGCAGGTGCCTTTACCCACTGGGCCATCTCATTGGTCCAGCACGTGACACTTTATATGATGTGTGACTAGAATGAACCTTTATATTTTCCTAAATAGAACAAAACTTTAATGGCATTTTAAAGTCTATTCAAATATACATTTTCTTTTTAAACAAATGCTTCAGCATTTCTAAGGTACCAATCACTAACTTCAGTGCTAATAAATCTCAGTAGAAGACAATAGGCCCTTGCTCTCAGAAAGCATGGTGTCCAGAAGCCCACAGGAAAACATCAATGTGAGGCATTGATCATGTGCCAGCTATGCATGAATGTTCTTAGGATTACCCCCTTTCAATTACCAAAAAGACACATTCTATTAATCTCATTTGACTGAGGACATTGACCCAGGTATACTAAATAACTTACCCAAGATTACAAGGTGCATATAGTTGGGTGTTTTTGACAGAGTCTTCCTGTAGCTGCAGCTGGCCTGGAACTTGCTATGTAGACCAGGCTGACCTTGATTTCACTGATCCACATGCCCCTGCCTCCCAAATACGGGGATCAAAGGTGCATATGGCTTAACCTGGGTCAACTTGCCACCCAAATCCGAAGTTGCAAAGCTTGTTTCATTCTGTGTCTGAAGTAAATCTTCATTTCGAATGAGTATAGAATAATCAAATGTATCAAACTGAAAATTTAAAAATAGAATGTCCCTTAATGACTTAATGAAGATATGAAATATTTAGACTTGAGAAACATTCAAAGTCCTGGCTCATGATAGATTTTCTGCAGATTGGGGAGGGGTGCTTATGGATTTTCTAATGGGGAGGTACCATGCCCTTTCCAAACTGGGAATGTAACACCCAGATAATGCTTTAGACCAGCTATGACTCACAGGTGAGTTTTGAGTTTTGCTCACAGTGCTTTTAGAGGTAGTATTTCCAAGTGGGTAATACCCCTGGGGGCGGGGAGACAACCATCTGAAAGTCCAGGGTTTGGGCCCCACGTGGGGTGCCAAGGTGTTAGCAGCTGCCTGACAAACTTTTTCCTCTGTGGGTTGAAGAATGAAAAGACAGAGAGCTCAGGGCAAAGCAAAAGTAAAGTTTATCACCAAGCATTACAAATGTCTCAGAGGAGTGGCCCCAGACCTGTAATACCACACTGCCTGGGGGTCAGGGGAAGCATGTTTTTCTTGAGTTCAAGTACTACCCGCTCCCAGAGACCTCTCTTCTCCTCTGTATTAGGACTAAGTTTTCATGTGCCCATTTTAGCAGAGGGGATTGGGTTCCCCACTTCTGTCTATGATAGAGGAAGGGGCGAGTGGCCCTTTCTGCCTTTCCCCTGTCCTCGGAGCCCACAGCCTCACTGGCCATCCAGATGGAGATGGAGATCAGTCATTAGACATGTGTTCAGGAAAAGCTGTGGGAGTCATTCCATTCCAGGGAGTATTCTTTCCCTAACTGCTTTCTGTTCTGATCTCATTAACTTAGGTAAGCCGAATAAATACAAACAGCACATGAAGAAAAAATTTCAACTCATATGGGACAATGAGGGCTGCCGTCAAATCCCTGAGAGTTTCTATAAACAAATCATAAAGGCAGAGTATGAGGCACTGAAAGATGCCTTTTCTGAGCCTGGAGCAATCACTATGGTTGTGGAAGGGCCCGAAGGACAAGGGAGAACGGCCTTCCTCAGAAAAGTGATGTTAGATTGGGCAGAAGGAAATTTATGGAAGGACAGATTTACATTTGTTTTCTTCATCTATGTCTACGAATTGAATTCCATGTCCGAGACGAGCTTAGTGGAGCTCATCTCCAGGGAGTGGCCTGGATCTTTAGAGATGATTAATGACATTTTTTCAAAGCCAGAGAGAATCTTGTTTATCCTGGATGGATTTGATGGCTTGAAATTTGACTTGGAAGTCAGAACAAACTTGTGTGATGACTGGAGGCAGAGGCAGCCAATACAAATCGTCTTGAGCAGTCTGCTACAGAAAAGAATGCTTCCAGACTCCTCTCTGATCCTTGAATTGGGGAAACAGTCTCTGCCCAAAATCTATTACTTGTTGCAGTTTCCAAGGAGCATATTTATGACAGGACTCCCTAAGGAATTAACAGAGCCGTATTTCCAGCACTTTTTCTGCAGTAAGGACAAAGGATCAGAAGCCTTTCGATATTTGAAAACGGATATTTCACCTTTTCTTGAGCTGTGCAGAAATCTCCGTATGTGCTGGATGGCCTGTAGTTGTTTAAAATGGCAGTATGACAGGGGAGATAAATATAAAATTGTTGCAGACACAGACTCCTCCACCTACACAAGCTTTGTGGTGAGCTCATTCAAATCAAGGACCGCAAACTGTCCGTCAAAGCAAAACAGAGATCGACTAAGAAAACTGTGTACTTTGGCGGCGGAAGGAATGTGGCATCGGACGTTTGTATTCAGCACGGGAGATTTAAGGAAGATTGGAATCACTGAATCAGATGAGGCGATGTGGCTGGGAATGAGATTTCTCCTGAAGAGAGGGAATTGCTTTGTTTTTCACAATCACACCCTGCAGGCATACTTTGCTGCCCTGTTTTACTTCCTCAGACAAACCAAAGACAAGCCTAACCCAGCCATTGGAAGCCTACCCGAACTCCTCAGAGAAGTTTATGTCCACTTCCAAACCCACTGGCTCCAGATAGGAATGTTTCTGTTTGGAATTTCCACTGAAAGATCGATCACCTTGCTGCAACAGTCCATTGGTTTCCTACCGTCAAAAGAAATACGTCAGGAAGTAATTAAATACCTTAAAAGTCTAGGTCAACACAAGCACATTGACAAAGTGATACGTTCTAAGGATTTGCTCCCTACTTTACTTGAAGTCCAGGAGGGAAGATTTGAAACACAAGTGATGGATTTATTTGAAGAACTGACCACTAATGTTTTTGATTCTGAAACGTTGTTAGAAGCATCAAACTGTCTGGATCATTGTAATAAGATAAGGAAACTTCACCTGTGTGTACGTCACATCTTTACAACTGAACGTAATTCCACTGCAACAGAGTAAGTACATCTCAAGTATACCTGGTCTGGCACACTTACCAATGGGTGTTTCATAGGGGTGTGTGTGTGTTATACCTGTGAAAATGCATAAAAAGCCAGCCGCAGGAAGATGTCAGGTGTCTCACTCTATCACGTCCTGCCTTGAGACGGAGTCTCTCACTAATACAAAAACTCTCCATTTTGTTAGCCTGACTGCCTGGCAAACAAGTTCTCATGATCCCCTTGTCTCTGCCCTCTAATGCTAGGGCAATGGGCACATGCAGCCATGCCTGGCTTTTATATCTGTGTTGGGGATCTGAACTTGGGTCCTCATGCTTGCACAGCAAGTGCTCTTGCCCACTGAGCTCATCTCCCCACCATGATATGTCATAAGTTCTTCTGTTTCTAAGCTTGGATGTTTGGATGTCACAGTCATAAAAGCGTTCTGTTGAGTCTTGGTACTGCTGTTTGGAGCTCTGTGACCCTGGGCTGCAACATCTTGACTTTCCCATCTGTACAGAAAAGAACAAATATTTTATATATGTCAGAAGGCCAATGTGAGATGGAAATGAAAGCAGTTTCATTTCAGTGTCTTGATGCTTTTCCTTCATCCATGGTGTGTTTAGCATGTCCTAGTAAACATGCTGGAGAGGACTGGAGGAACTGGATACCTGGTTTGGTGCCCATGAGCTACTTGGCTATACTGAACCTTCATCCATGGTGTGTTTAGCATGTCCTAGTAAACATGCTGGAGAGGACTGGGGGAACTGGATACCTGGTTTGGGGTTGTGCCCATGAGCTACTTGGCTATACTGAACTTGCCTTAATTTCTTGCAATGGCTTCAGGTTACCAGCTCATATTGATCTCTCAAATACATAACATCTTTCACGATATTATAGGATGCAGTTTGCTACTCATTCAGGAGTCCCAGATATCCACCTTTATTCAGATAAATCAAGTCTTTTTTTGATAACCTTCCCTAGCAACAGAGCTATTAATAATGAGTGGTCCCACAGGGATTCAAACCTCAATTTCATATCTTGGTTCTGTTTTGTTGTAATCAGAATTTTTAATTTAAATTTGTTTCACAATTTCAAAGTGTGAATATTACATTCTGCTTCACCTCACCCCTACCCTGTCCCCTCTTCCCTCCTTCCCACATCACCCCAACTGCTTCCTACATCTCTTCCTCACATTCATGGGTTTTTGTTTTGTTTAGTGACCCACTGAGTTTAACTAGGGCTGTTGGTGGGACCATGGTTTTGGAACTGTCCATTGTTGCCTGGTGGACTCGCCTGTGGGAACACGGTTGAAGATGATGGCTACCCCTCCCCTAGAATCTACCAGCCAGTAGTTCAACAGGGAAGGGTAGGGCTCTGTAAGTCCCTCCCTGGTCTATGATTGATTGAGAAGCCCAGTTTTGTGTAAGCCAGTGGAAACAACTTCAGTTTCTCAGCATTCTGACTGTGTTAGACCCCAGAAGATAGCATTTTGTAGCTCAGGACTCAACTCTTGTTTTCTTTTTAAAGATTTTATTTTTATTTTGTGCATGAATATTTGCCTGCATGTGTGTATGTGTACCGTGTGTGCAGTCCCTGTGGAGTCCAGAAGAGGGTGTTGGATACCCTAGAACTGGAGTTACAGATGGTTGTGAGTCACTAGGTACATGCTAGGAATAGAACCTGGGTCCTCTGTAAGAGCAGTCAGTGTTTCTAATTGATGAACCATCTCTCTTGCCCCAAGGCTCACTTTCTTAATCACTATGCTATAGTGACTCCTTTCACCTGGACGAACCCCCATTCGCCCCAAGTCCCATTCAAGCCTAACAGCTTTGATAGGTTTTGGAATGATCTGCCTATCTTAGGAATGTTTTGAACTGAGTAACTATTAGATAATAATGGTGTGTGTTATCTCCATTGCAGAGCTCATATCCATTTTTGGGGAAAACTTTGCTCAGTGTTTAGCAAGAACTTCCAGGCACTAGAATTGGACAGCTGTAACTTCAATGAAACTTCTTTTAAGATTCTCTGTGAAGCACTTTCTAGTCCTGTTTGTAAGCTCCAAAGCTTGACGTAAGTTTGATAGTAACCAGTCCTTTAAGTAATTAGAAATACGCTTTTTTCTTTGTGGAGATGATTAAAGCATAAATGAAGATCTACAGTCCAGAGTGTCAGATATATAGTAATACCAGCAGTTACATACTTGAATTTTTGTGTCATGTGTGTATACATATACACTATACCCGCTAAATATAAACATCTGATTTACAAATACCTCTAAATGGTTTATAAATAGCTATAAATATAGAATGTGTGCATATATATATATACACACACACCTATATACTAGAATAAAAGCTGACACAAATGGACACTCTAGGCATTATAGTAAATGTTACCTTAAGGCTTATCTTTTATTTTTATGTATGCGTGTCTGTGTCTAGGTATGTGCACATGAAAGCAGGTGCCCTCAGAGGCCAGAAAAGGGTATCAGATCCCCCGGAGCTGGAATTACAGGTGGTTGTGAGCTGCCCAACTTAGGTGCTGGGAACTGAACTCCAGTTTTCTGCAAGAACAATACAAACTCCTAATCACCGAGTCATCTCTCCAACCCAGGGTTAACTTCTTAGTCATCACAATAGCATCCATTTGTTATAAGGAAACTTGGCCAGGAAGAAGTTAGGTTAATTTTTCCCAACCTTGGAATAAGAAGAGCAAAACTTCAGATCTGCTTTTCTTTAACTGTGGAGCAAAGTCCACAGCTATGATGAATAGTGATACCTTGAAAACACCATAACTTAAACAGAAATGGGCCCTTCCCTTGGGATATACACCTGGAAAACCCGATACAAATGAGTGTCTGCATTTTACTTGAGGCATTGCTCAGAGTTTAATATGGGATAAGCCTGACTCACGTTATAATGTTCCTGGTGTTACATAGAAGTGGAAGAACTAGGGAGAAAAAGACCGAAGCTTGAGCCTCAGTGTGCATCTACGATCTGAAGATAACCAGGCTGCAGTAACCAAAATGGCAAAACAGTATAGCACGTGAGACCAAGTAGGGAAGGAAACAGATTTGTACAAATCTCCCACCTTGTCTCTGCATGTCCTTGTACAATGTATCATTTCTTTTTATTTTGCAGATGTTCCTTCATGTCTGACATCGGAAATGGTTCATTATTATTTCAAACAATTGCTAAAAATTCTTGTCTGAAATACCTGAACCTCTATGGCACTAAGCTCTCCTGTCATTCAGTTGGCAGTCTGTGCCAGGTGCTGCAAGACCCATCCTGCAAAGTGGAAGACCTGCTGTAAGTCAGATGGGCCATGCATGCTCAGTGTTTGTTTATGACTTTATTGTTTTTCATTGGCACACATTATACAAAATGAGTTCCATTATGACAGTTTTTAAAAATGTATGAATGTGTATGCACACAGGCATGCATGCAGGTGCCTGCAGAGTCCAGAAAAGGATGTCAGATTCCCTGGAGCTAGAGTTACAGAGACTTGTGAGCTGCCCAGCATAGGTGCTGGGATTCAGGCTCTTATCCTCTACAAAGGCAGTAAGTGCTCATAACCATGGGAACCCTCTCCAGCGTCTCCCGAAATGACATTCTCAAGTAATTATGCAAGTTTATAATGTCTTCATATTCACCTAAGTCCTGTTGGTTCCCTTCCCCATCTGAAAAATTTCCCTTTCTACTTTGGCGCCTTTTTTGTTTTATTAATGATTTTAACCCCAATATATTATTGACTGTCCTACTGAAGTCACTGAGGTTTCTTAACATATGTATTCATGTTTACATGGTTTTCTGTGACTATTTTACCACTATATCTTTAAATATTGCATTTGACATCTTTTTATCCAGCTTCTTCCTGATCTGGGAAGATAGTCTCATTATGCTTTCAAGAAAAAAGATAAGAATGTAGAGGATTTTTGGAAAAATCATCAGTGTAGAAACAATTGGTCCATGAGTAAACTCCCACATGACCTTTGAGGGTAGGATGGAAAAGAAATGGGAAGTAGGCGTATAAAAATGGGGCTATTTGGAAGTGGATGGGCAAGTGATAGTAGGGGTTAGCTCAGGACTAATCTGTTATTTCTAAGCAACAAGACTGCTCAGACCTGAGTTTATCAACCTTGGCACTTGTGGTATGATAGATGGCTTACACTGCAAAATATATGTTGTGGTCTCTTCCACTGGTCCTATCCTACAGTTCCAAAACAAACCTTTGTTTGTGAGTGCTACTGGTGTCTGTAGAATCATTTCTTCTGATGTTCGGACTTTTGTCTTGGTTCCTGACACAGAGCTCCTAGTCTCGGAATTTTCTGGGTGATAGGATCAACTCTGGTTTTAATGGGAAGCTCTTGGTGGATTATGGCACAGTGACCAGTCCTCAGAAGAACCAAACTGTGACTAGATGCTGGAGTGTTCTGTATCTGGAGTTAGTCATGCATACATCATGAAGCTTCCATTAAAATCCCAAATTTAGAGAGGTTCCTTCCTGGTTAGCATTAACTAACAATTTGACACAGCCTAGGATCACCTGAAAAGTATTAATTCAGTAATTGTCTTTATCAGGTTGGCATGTGGGCATGTGTGTGAGGGATGGGTTGATTATTAATCAGTGTAGGTGGGCCCAGCCCAGTATGAACAGGTGGATCTGGGATGTAAGAAGGCCAGCTAGCCTTCTACTGAATACGTGAATAAGCCAGCAAGCAGAGCTCCTCATGGTTCCTGCGTCCAAGTTCCTGGTTGAGTCCTTGCTCTTCCTCCAACAATGCTGTGCAGTGTAAGCCAAATTATTTCCTCCCTAAGCTGCTTTTGGTCAGAGTGCTTTATCACAGTAACAGAGAGGAAACTATAATAGATATTTTAGTTTGGCAAATATATTCACTTGGCGCACCCTACATCCATGAGGCAAAAGTTCCTGTGCTTGGGACCCTTCCAGACTTTCCTTGTATTATCTATATGACCATTCATATCCTTTATCATATCACTTTAGTATACTAAGCTGGCAGAGGCATAAATCACTGAGTGATTTCATCAGGTGAATTAAATCTGAGGTGTGTCATGGGAACTTCAGTTTAGATCTTGTTGGTCAGAAGCACAGGTCTGGCATCTGGAATTTGGAATGCAGGGCCGTTGTGAGGGACTGAAAATTGTGTGTGTGTGTGTGTGTGTGTGTGTGTGTTCTAGATCATCCTTTGTGATGGCGTCTGCCTGCGCATTAGAGATTTAGCAATATCCATGTCCTCCAGCCACTAGATGCTGATAACATATTATGGCATCTTATGCCTTATGTCTCTGATGGTTGTTGTGACAACCAATAGTATCTCCAAACACTTTCAAATATATCCTAGAGAATAAAATCACCCATGGTCAAAAACAACTGCATTATGGGGCACTATTCCTGGAGAGATGTGAGCACGCTTCTACTACCCTAGACAGGGAACCAATGACAGACCACCAAAGTCCAGCTTGGTGAAGCCAATGTGTTTTATTGGGGTTAATTACAGGAATATGGGGAAGGCGTTACTTACAGGAGCAGAAATGACTCAAAGACAGCTACATCATCAAAGTCCATCCCAGCATGGGCGACAGCTCAAGAAAACTTGAAACGTGGAGCTCACTGTACAACGTATAGGCAGTTCAACAGGTCCTTTTCTGACTACCTCAGTTGGTCTGAGCCTTTCTCAGGCATCTTGGCTTGTCTGAGTGTCACCAGTCTTTATGGCTTAACAAGCTTCCTTGCCGGAATGTTTCAGCTCACCTTAGAGCATTTCCTTGAGTTTCTTTCCAAGATGGAAGGTTCTATCTCAGGAAGTTGCTACACAACATGGTGTCTTACACTCATTCCTGATTCACTAGAATGCCATCATAATTAATGATGATAGTCACGTTATGCTTGTGCGTTAAACAAGTTTAAAGTGTAGATGTGGGTTAGGTGCAGGATTGGAATTCAGAGCTGTTACAAAGTTTGAAACCATTGGGGAAAAGACCAACAGACCCAATTCCAATTTTAGTTGGTCAAATTTATTAGGACTATAGCCATTCGTGGTCCTTAAGTCGGATTCAGGACCCACAGCCCCGAGGGGAGGGTGAAACTAGTTTACAAAGGCAAAACCCACAAATACATAGGAATTTCATTACACATGAGTAATGCCAGGTGGTCCTGAGTAGGTCAGGACACCCAAGTTAGCAGATAAGCAAACTACAGAAGCCAGAACAAGCTTGTGCTAGTCCTCTTAACAGGTACAGAGAGCTTGACAGTAAGGCACTTTCTGATTACTGTTATTTAGGCTTCTCGGCTAGGCAAGAAGCACAGCTGTAGTGTCTGGGAGGTGACCAAGGTCAGCTACTCCAATGAAAGCACTGTTCTAAGGGGAAGCAGCTAAGTTCAGGCACTTAACCTTGAAGCTGGCTGTTTTCTTTAACTTTTGAGGTTTAAAATGGCTGCTTTATACAAAATGAAGTTACTTGGCTGTTAGGATTTGAGGGATTCCATGTGGGGGCCATTACAGAGAATTTGCTTCATTAGTGGTCAGTCTTGTATAGATTACCTAAAACCTTTGTTCCCAACCCGTGTTGGACCTGTGTCTCACGTGTAGGTTGGGGAAGTGTAGCATCACGAGTCCATCTTGTCGAGCTATTGCTTCTGTCGTCCTCTGCAACAAGGTGAAGCGTCTTTCATTGGTAGAAAATCCTGTGAAGAACAAAGGGGTGAGGCTGCTGTGTGAAGCCTTGAAGCAGCCAACCTGCGCCCTGGAGACACTGCTGTGAGTTTGTCTGGGGAAGCATGCTCTGGGGAGATCTCAGAAGCCTGCACATGGGTCCAAATGCCATAAAGGTGGTCAAATGCTCACTAAAAGATGCAGGAGAAAATGGGATGCATCATTTGATTCAGTTACTTCTTCATGCCTCGGGAACCTTATCAGTGTTATGGAGTTTGAAACCACTGGAAAAAGACCACCAGACTCAATCCAAATTTTAATTGGTCAAATTTATTAGGGCTATAGCTATCCGTGGACTCTTAGTCAGATTTTGGACCCACAGCCCTGAGGGGAGGGTGAAACTAGCTTATAAAGGCAAAACCCACAAATACCCTAGGAATTTCATCACACATGAGTAATGCCAAATGGTCTTGAGTAGGGTCAGGATGGCCCAAGTTAGCAGGTAAGCAAACTATAGAAGCCAGAACAAGCTTGTGCTAGTCCTTCTCTTAACAGAGGTATAGAGACCTTGACAGTAAGGCACTTCCTGATTACTAGTGTTATTTAGGCTCCTTGGCTAGGCAAGAAGCACAGCTGTAGTGTCTGGGAGGTGACCAAGGTCAGCTACTCCAAAGAAAGCACTGTTCTAAGGGGAAGCAGCTAAGTTCAGGCGCTTAACCCTGAAGCTGGCTGTTTTTCTAGCTTTTGAAGTTTAAAGTGGCTGCTTTATACAAAATGAAGTTCCTTTGTCTGTTACAGTTTGGAGGGCTCCATTTGGGGCCATGACATCAATAAGCGGGACAAATACAGGGAAAGACACCCAGAATCTGAGTTCAGACAAAGCAAGATAAGCTGTAAGATGCCTTGTGTTGAATGAACAGCTTAATGATCTTGATTATCGTTAAGAAAGGTGATGTCCCTGGAGACATATTGGCTACTAGGCCAGAGGAGCGTGGAAATAAGCAAACATTCATTTGACTCCTTTCCAAGCCAGGACTTTCTACACCCTAGGTCATTGCTGGTTCTTCCAATGTCACCTGCTTTCTTATAGCTAATCTACACTGTGAGCTGCCCCCTGGGATGAGGGGGATTATGGTAACAGAACAGCTTTATTTTTCTAGGGAGGACACAGAAGTAACTTACTCTTCTGTCAATCAAATGTCTTAAGATGGGGGACATGCTCAAAGACACCCAGGTTCATGGAAGACAAAATATATAGACACAAAATTGTTGCTTCTGTTTGACACCATTCCTGGGGCAATGTAAACAAATGTCTCCTCACCCCAGATAGGCAACCAATGACAGACCAAAGTAAGGAAAGCTCCAATATCCAACTTGCGGAACCAGTGAGTTTTATTGGGGTTAAGTAGCAATGGTGGGGAATTATGAGAGCAGAAGTGACTCACCACATCAATAAAGTCTACCCCAGCATGGGTGACAGCTCACAAAACAAGGGGACCCCGAACTCTGGACAATCTACAAGGCCATTCAGCAGGTTGCAGAGTGTCCTTTCCAGAGAGCCCAGTTGGTTTGACCCTCTTCCAGGCAGCTCAACTGGTCTGAACTTTTTTTTTTGAGACAGGGTCTCCCTGTAGCCCCAGCTGTTCTGGAACTCACTATGTAGACCAGGCTGGCTTTGAACTCAGACATCTGCCTGCCTCTTCCTCCTGAGTGCTGGGATAAAGGTGTGCGACACCATGCCTGGCTGTTAGTTTCTACTCCTCCCTCTGGAAGCATCTCTCTGCAGTTGCTTGGGGAAGGAGGGTCCTAGTGAATCAGGCCAGTTTCAGGGACGTTTATTGAGTTTACTTCCTGAGCTTAGTGAGTATGCTGCTGGATGGAATGGTATACCTCCCCATCAAAACATCCTGTTTACCTTCCTAAATTTAGAACATCTTGTTTACCTTCCTTTAGAACATCCCATTATTTACTTGGATTCCCTCCAAGATGGAAGATTTTTATCCTGGAGGAAATTGTCACCCAACAGTGTCCCGTTGGATCATACATCCATGCACAAATATACACATGAGCAAGTAGCTCACATACATTAAATATAAGAGCTTGAGAATATTTACCATTACAGAGATAATCTGCTTATCAAAGAAAAGCCAATATGGATTAAGTACCACTTCTGTGAAATGCTTGTGGTAATGTTTTCACATTTCTGTTTTACATTTTTGGAATATTTACATATCGTAATGGAGATTCTTGGTGATAGGAACTAAGTCAAAATGTGAAATTTACCTGTCATATACAATTTGGGTACACGGCTTAGGGGTAGTTTTATACAATATGTTCTGTGCCCTTTTGTTTTGACTAGGACCTGATGTATGACAGGGTTTTGTTGTGGAATTTTCTAATTGTATCATCATGTTGTACCGAAAGTTTTGTATTTTGGGGAATTGAGAATGTGCAGTCTTTAAATTGAGAGTGATGAATCTGTAATACAATTCTAGTGACAGCAAACTTTGAAGCTAAACTTTAAAAAAATTTATATGTATGAGTGTTTTGCCTGCATGTAAGTGCACTGTGTGCATGGAGTGCCATTGGAGGCCAGAAGAGGGCATTGGAGTCCCTGGAACTGAAGTTTAAGAATTGTGAGCCACCACGTGGATGCTGGGAACTGAGGGTCTGGGTCCTCTGCAAGAGTAGCAAGTGTTCTTAACCACTGAGCCATCTCAAGCCCGGAGGCTTGACCTTTAAAAGAAAAAGGGAAAAGCTGAGCTACACAGAGTTGAATATTTCAGAAGAGGTAGAAAAAAAATACACGCTGGGGATGGTGGTGCACGCCTTTAATCTCAGCACTTGGGAGGCAGAGGCAGGCAGATCTCTGAGTTCAAGGCCAGCCTGGTCTACATAGTGAGTTCCAGGACAGCTGGGGCTACAGAGAGACCCTGTCTCAAAAAGACAAAAAAAAAATTGCATTGCTCCCTGATGTTCTACAGTAGGTTGAATTATAGTCAGTGCCTAGTAGTTATGAGCTACATTGATCATGACTTATTTCAAATACATTATTTAACATTTAAATATTATAGTCTTTAGCCCATTAAAAACAACAGGATTGGACTGGAGTAATAGCTAAGTAGGTACAGTGTGTGCTACACAAGCATGAAGAGCAGAGTTTGATCCTCAGAACCCGTGGCACACTGGGGAAGAGGAGACAGGCGTGTCCCTGGGCTCAATAGAAAGTCATCCAAGTCTGAGTTCCAGGCTAGTGAGAGATCCTACCCCAAAGGAGTGGATGATAATCCAGAGAATGATACCTGAGGCCTCCTCACATGCACACATGCATGCATATACAACACACACACACACACACTCTGAAAAAAAATTTCACTGAACACACACACACACACACACACACACACACACACACACACACACTCTGAAAAAAAATTTCACTGGAAGATACTCCATTTTGGCAGTATTCTGTAACATTGACAAATTTCTTATATGGGTAGAAGTATTAGTTTATTGAGTGTTCTGCAAATAAATTGGCAGATAAATCAACAAATATTTGGAAAAGTCTATGGTGATATGCCTCACAAATTAAAACTTTATAAACTTTTAAACAGTTTAAGTACTTTTTAATTTAGTGTGTGTGCATGTGCGCACATGCCACATGTACATGCATGTGGAGATCAGAGGACAGCTTACAGGAATCAGTTTTCTCCTACCATGTGGGTGCTAAGGATCAAACTCAGGTGTTCAGTTTTGGCATTAAACACCTTTACCCACTGAGCCATCTCACCAGTCTACTTTAAAACCTTTTTCTTGCAAAGTGGAAATTTGGTATAGGAAGGACGTCAGTCTTTGCATGTGAATGTCATGACATGAGCTGACTACACGTGTGATCTCTTCACAGACTGTCCTATTGCTGCCTCACATTTGTTGCCTGTGGCCACATCTACGAAGCCCTTTTGAGCAACAAATCCCTCTCTCTGCTCGATCTGGCATCAAACCACCTGGAAGACAATGGAATAATCTCTCTGTGTGAAGCACTGAAGTCCCCAAACTGCCCCCTACAGGCGTTGTGGTAGGACTCTGTCCTTCATTGTGGGGATGACTGTTTTGGATGTTGACTTTCAGGGTGAAATTAGGACAGTAGAAAGGTCTGGATATCAGTGTCACTTCAAAATCTATCTGTATATTGGGGGCTAGAGAGCTGGCTCAGCAGTTAAGAGCACTGGCTGCTCTTGCAGAGGACCTGGGTTTGATTCCCAGCACCCACATGGTGGCTTACAACTGTCCCTAACTCAAGTTCCAGGGGATCCAATACCCTCTTCTGGCCTCCGTAGACATTCCACTTTCATATATGCAGGCTATATATGCGTACACATAGAAATAAAACTAATAAATAAAATACAAAAACTCTGTTAAAGTAAACCCCTAAGATAACAATCTCAAGAACCTGGTCCCTTGGGAGGTTGATTGGCTCCTGAGGGTGGAGCCTCATGAATGGGATTAGTGCCCTTTTTAAAGAGGCTCCAGACATTGCCTCACCCATTCCATGATGCGAGGGCACAGTGAGAATATGCCATTAGGGCTAAAGAGATGGCTCAGCAGTTAAGAGCACCTCCCACATGATCATGAGGACTCGAATTCAAATCCCATCACCCATGTGAGGTGCTCACAACTATCACTCCAGCTCCACAGGATCTGACATCCTCTTCTGGCCTTTGTGGGCACTCCCTTTACATGTGCATACTCACATGTACACAGACACAGACACATAGACACGTGAGTGCGTACCCACACAAAGAGGAGGTGCATTCATGAACCAGGAATGAGGTTCTTGTACACGCCACATGGGCCTGCTTATACACTTTCAATGTAAATTTTTAGTCTTTGGAGCTGTAAGACATGAATATCTTGCTTTTGAGCCATGCAGTCTGATATTTTGCTAAAACCCAAGCAGTTTGGAATGGAGATATGGTTCAGTGGTTATGACCACTGTCTGTTCTTGCAGAAGACCAGGTTCAAATCCCAGCACCCACATGGTGGCTAACAACCATCTCTAACTCCCGTTCCAAGGGATCTGATGCTCTCTTCTGTTATCCAAGGGTACTGCACAACATGGGTGCACTTACATATGTACAAGCATAACACTAATACACATAAAATAAAAATAAAAATGATAAAACATAGTCCAAGCAGATTAAGACACCACAGAGAAAATGGGGTCTGCTCAAGAAAACTAGGCTGTGTCCACCCCAGCTTTCTTGTGGAGTGCTCTGTGGCTTGCTGACTTGGGTCCTTTAAAAATTTTTAAATTTATGTGTGTTTTGCCTGCATGTATGCAAGTGCATTCATATATACAATGGCCATGGAGGCCAGAAAAGGTCTTGGATCCCCTGGAACTGGAGTTACAGACAGATGTTAGCCACCAGGTGGCGCTGGGGGCCAAACTCGAGTCCTCTGCAAGTGTGGTCAGTGCTCTTGACTACTGAGCCATCTCCCCAGCCCCCCTGACTTGGGTCTTGATGGAAAGAGTTGTCAGAACAAAGGACATGCTGCTCTTGAGCTGGGACTTCTACTTAGGAAGACCCTGAAAAAGGTGTCAACAGTGTCCTTGATTGGCTGTGAGAACTTGGACAGGTGATTCGCCTCTCTAGGTGTATGAGAGTGTAAGTGTAGTGCTCACCTGGAAGAATTGAGGTGGTGCATATGTGTGCATTTGAAGCGCAGGTATATGTGTATATGTGCAAATGTCAGTTTCTGCATCTCGGCACTGTGAGGTTTCTGGTCTAGGCGATTATTTGCTGTGGTGGCTGCCCTGTGATTTGTAGTCTATAGCAGCATCACTGGTTTCTATCTACTAGATGCCAGTAGCATCCTCACTCCTAACGTGGCAAACCAGAATAGCTTCAGATGCTAGAAGCATCCCCTGGAGGGCAAGATTCATGCCTGCTCCACACACACACACACACACACACACACACACACACAAATCCAACCAGTCATGCATCTATTCATGTCCTAGTTTGGTTTCGGTTGGTGTGATACATATCAAGATAAAAAACATCTTGGAGGAGTTTATTTTATCATACATCTCCCAAGTCACAGTTCATCATTAAGCTAAGTTGGGGCAGGAACCTGGAGGCAGGAGCTGAATCATAGACCATGGAGGAATGCTGCTTACCGGCTTGCTCCACTGGCTGGTGTTCAGCCTGCTTTCTTATATGATACAGGACCACCTGCCCAGGGGTGACACCACCTACAGTGGGCTGGGCCCTCCTGCATCACTCAACAGTCAAGAAAATGTCCCACAAACATGGCCACAGGCTAATCTAATGGAGGAAAATCCTTAGTTTGAGGTTCCCTCCACCCCATGTATCTAGTGGACAGCTGAAGCTATCCAGCACAATGCAATGTATACCCATGTATCTGCATGTCATATATCCATGCACCTATTATGTCATCTATATATTAATCCCTTTTCTACCATCTAACAGTTTCTTTTATCTTCTATATATCATCCACATGTTTCCTGTCTTCCTATAATCTACTTATCACCTATCCATTATCAAACTATATCATCTACCATCTATCAGTTCATCATCCATCTGATATAAATCTGCCTGTCTGTATTTATCAACTGTTTAACATCTATGTGCCCATTTATTCTTCATTATTTACTTATCTTATACTTATTATCTGCCCATCTCCTCCCTTTCTTCCTCATTTTCTTATTGGTGAAAGAGCCATGGGTACCCACGAGCCTGGGGCATGGAGGAGGTCTGAAGACCTGTTGCCATGTAAAACACTCACAGGAAGTTTACCACGTGGTGACATTTACATCTGAAGTCAGTAATGGGGTAGCCCCACTTATTTTCAGGGTATAAGCATTTCAACCAGAGAGTAAGAGCAGGAACCTCAGGTGGGGAGATCAAGACAGGCAAACCACAGGAAGCCAGTGTGGGTCGGGCAGATCAGGTGGAGAAACATCACTATCGATGTCTTAGAGATATTTGGGCATTTCCTGGTTCCTATGAATAAGTAAAAACTAAGCTGTTAAGTTTGGATATCGTGGGTTGTGGATGTAGCTCAGTTTGTAGAAGGCTTACCTAGCATGCACGCAGTCCTGGGTTTGATTCCCCATTACTATCTAAAAATCCAGGAATGGTTGTATACCTAAGATTCCAGCACCTGGGAGGTAGAATCAGGAGGGTCAGAAGTTAAGGTCATTCTCCTTTAAGTAGTGATTTCAAAGACATCCTTGGTTACATGAGACCCTTTCTCAAAAAAATGTGAAAAAATTGAAACAAAAAGATGGGTGCTCATGAGGACGTATGTTTGTGTGTGTGCGCGCGTGTTTTCCCAGGCTATCTGGTTGCTCGCTCACTTTGGAATGTTGTGAAGATCTCTCTGCTGTCCTTGTTTGCAACAAAAGACTAAAGACCCTGAAACTAGGCAACAATTACTTAGTAGATGCTGGTGTCCAACTGTTATTTGAAGCTTTGAGGAATCCTAATTGTAAATTACAGAGTCTTGGGTGAGTATCTACTGACCATCATCACAAGAGAGGCTCCCAATTTGAAGAGATTCTCCAGATGGGCCTATCACCTTCTCAGCCACGGGTTCTAGGCTGTTTTCAGTATTAGGCATGAGTCCAGCCAAAATTTCATCATTGGGGGTGGGGCGCTCAGGAAGCCCTAACCCTAGCTGAGGAACTATTGGCAGTCGAAGGCTGCTAGGGAAAGGAGAGTTCATTCTCTTCAGAAACGTGGCCCCTGGCTGGTTCCCCGTATCCCAGTGCACAATGAGGGATGCTAATTGAACTCAGTGAGTTTTAAAAAATGAGGATGTGAATTTGAGAGGGGGATGTGATAGGGGATCTAGAAGGAGTTGGAGGGAGGTAGTTGGAGGAAGGTAGTTGGAGGGTGGATATGATGAACTCTGTTGTATACATATATGAAATTCTCAAATTTAAACTCCTATTCGAAGAAACCAGGATTTGCTTAGCCTTGTTACTATGGACATTAGGGGCTGGTTAAGTCTTTGCTGTAAGTGGTGTTACGTGCAGCATGGGATGTAGGCAGCATCCCTAGGTACTCTGTACAAGTACTGCCTTGCACTTAGAAAAAAAGCCCCTAGTCTTCGTCACATACCCCTTGGAGAGTATAGCATCTTAGGCAAGAACCACACATCTGCATGCTAACGTGTTCTGCTCAGAGGCATGGAAGAGGCATTCAACAACAGACTCTCTTGTGTTTCCCGTCACAGAATAGACATGTGTTACCTTTCAAATGACTGTTGCGAAGACCTGGTTTCCACTCTCACCACCTGCAAAACATTGAAGAGCCTGAACCTTGCTTGGATAACCTTGGACCATGATAGGCTGGTGATGCTGTGTGAGGCTTTGCTCCATAAGAGCTGTACCCTGAAGGTACTCGGGTGAGTACACACTGTCCCCCATGGGGGTGTGTGACTTGAGAGAGATGCCTTTCTGCTAAAGCTCATCCCCACTGACACGGAGCTGGAGAACTCTCTGTTGTGAGGTGCCACTGGTGCACTGTACTACATTGAGGACCGTCCTTGAACTCTGTCCACTCACGAAATGCTGAGATCACCACCTTCTATTTAGGATTCCCTAATATTTATATTTATTCTTTGAAGATTTCACACATCTATACAATGTATTTTGATCATATCCCCCCGACACTACCTCCCTCAAACCACAAGTAAATAGTCTCCTGAGTCCAATCACTGCTAACCACATGTGCATGGGTGTAGGGTCATCCACTGGGGCATGGACAACCTATCAGCAACCACATCTTGAAAGGACAGTGACTCTCCCTCAGCAGTCATCAACTACCAATAACTCCCTTGGCTAGGGGTGGCGTTCATGAGCCCCCTCCCCTGTCCTTGTTGGGATTTTAAATGCAGGTCTTGTGAAAGCAACCTCAACTGTTGTGAGTTGACATGCGCAATAGTCATGTCTAGAAGACAGCATTCCACAGCTCTTCTCATCATCCAACTTTTACATTATTTCTGTCCGTTCTTCCTCGATGTTTCCTGAATTTTGGATGCATGGAGATTGACATAGATGAGCCATCATAGATGAGCACTGAGTCCACTTATTCTCATTACTCTGACCAGTTGTGAGTCTCTACATTGACTGCACTTCCCACTGCAAAAAGACGTTTCTCTGACCAAGGTTGGCAGGAGCACAAATATATGAATATAAACATAAATACTTAGAAACACTTTGAAAACACACCCACTTAATGAAATAACAGCAAGCTCCTCCCTAGGGTCTATTACCTCACTGTAAACCTGGTCAAAGGATCAGACAGGAAATCCCTCCCATGGAACAGGATTCATCCAATTGGGAAGCAGCTGTCTACTCCCATAACTGTCATGCCACTATTTCCCTAGAAGGCACAACTTGATCAGGCATTTTTAATATGCCCCCCCTGGGAGATGCAATCATCCAACTCAGGATCATCATCCTACTTACAAACACCACTTCCTACATACATTAATCCATAAATGTGCAGCCCCAGTCCAGATTCAGGGATTCTGAAACCCTTGTTTAGAATTATGACTCAGAGGTACACTCACTACAAATCAATGAGTATAATCCTGCATTTGCATTTGGAGAACCCAGTCATTATGTGTGGTTTGATAGATGAATGTCTGGGAGATGATTTGAGAACAATACTTTGAGCAAAATTGTTCATGGCTCGGCCCTGTGTTCTGGATCCTGTACAGGGGCTGTAAAGAGTAGTGTGCAAGCAAGAATGAGATGCTGTGAAGGGCTTAGGGTGTGAGCACAGAGTGGTAAGCTATGGTGGGATGCTGGAGCTAGGACGGTATTAAGGAAGAGGTAGGAGAGGGCGGGGACTGAAAGCAGCCAGATCTGAAAGAGCCTGGTAGATCTCCAAGTTCCCCTAGTATGTTAACTCCATTATCCTTATAGGAGTCAACGAAGACACTCAAATTTACCTTTCTTAGTGATGACAGACATTGATGCTCAGAGAGGAGTGGAGCATGTGGCTAGGGAGGAGTTCATCTACAACATGAAGGCAGGCTTGAGGGCTCCAGACACTCAGTTCTTGACCAACCTTGAGTAGAAATACTCAAGGTGACCTTGAAGAAGGTTCTAAGTGAAATTAGAAGGAGTCATCTGAATATCAAGGAAAAAAAAGACCCAGGTGAGGAAGCACATCAGGTGCAGGTGTCTGGCTCCACAGTCTGGCAAGGAGACCCAAGGAGCTCTATAGACTGAGATGGGTGGATTCAGAGAAAAAATTGATCTAGTTGTGTAGGGAGGACCAGGCACTGAGATGTGTTATAAAACCTTCATCATGGGGCTAGAGAGAAGGCTCAGTGTTTAAAGTGCTTGCCATACAAGCATGAGGTCTGGAATTCAGATCTCTAGAAACTCAAATATTTGGGTCTCTTAGCCCCCTTGTAATACTCTAGCCTGGGAAGGCAGAGACAAGGATCCCCAGAGCAAGCTGGCTAGCAAGAATAGCCTCATCAATGGGCTCTGAGTTTTAGAGAGACTGCCTCGATGAATAAGCTGGAAAAGCAATCAAGGATGACTCTTGATCTCAGTCTCAGGTCTCCACATGTGTGCTCACACATGTTCACATACAAAAAAAGTGTGCATGCACACCACACATGAAAAATGGGAAAAGAAATGTAAAAATCCTTTATCATGCTCCCCTGTTATGAGCCCTCAGCCTCACACTCTAATTACATCTCTCAGATGGAGTGTTCATCTTCAGAGTAGAAACATCCATACCAGTTCTTACTGAATACCCCGTTTATTGCAGTGTGTCTGTAACCTAAAAGGATCTTAATCATCTTTGTCTCCCTGTAGCCATAGCTGGCCTAGAACTGGCTATGAAGGCCAAGGTGGTCGGTCTCCACCTGCCTCTGTCTTCCATGTGCTGGAATTATAGGCGTGCACTACCATGCCCAGCATGACTTCAGTATTTCTAAAATTTTTTTTATGTGTATGAGTATATCACCTGCATGTAGGTAAGTGCACCCAGGTCACACAGTGCCCATGGTCAGAAGAGGGCATCAGATTCCCCTGCAACTGGAGTTACAGACAGGTGTTAACTGCCAGGTAGATGCTGGAAATCAAATTTTGGTCCTCTGCAAGAACAGCCAGTGCTCTCAACTGCTGAGCCATCTCTCCAGCCTCAACTTCAAGATTTTTAAGCTTAAATCTTAACATCTTTATATGGACTTTTGTACCATTAAATAAGAGGGTTTATACTCTTTAGGAGAAACCATTCTTTCTCTTAACACCTAGTCCTCTAAGTCATTCCCAGGGAAGGATGACAAAGGGGTTAGAATAGGGATAAAGAGTCAAATGATTGTATATAGAATAAGCAGAACTTGGGGCAGTGAGATGGCTCAGTGAGCAAAGATGCTTGGCCCCAAGACTGACATCCTGAGCTCAATCCCCAAGACCCACATGGTGGAAAGAGAATCGACTCCCACAAGTTTTCTTTTGGCCTTTATGTGCTATGGCATGTACATATACGCATTCAGTAACTAAAATAAAATGTAATTAAGTAGATCTTCATTTCTTTTTCCCCAGGCTGGACAAATCTGCATTTTCTAAGGAATCACAGATGTTACTGCAAACTCTGGAAAACAAAATGAGTATTTTGCATTACCCCTGGATTGAAGAAGAACACAGGATGAGGGGTGTTCCTTCAGAACATAACAACTAGAATTAGTCTTGTGGCAAAGGCTCTTTGTCATGTTTCTCCTTTTGGCACACCATCCCTAAGTTGCAGCAGCTATGAGTTCAGGGTTGCTCTTTCATGACATCCTACCCCTCCCTCAACTTTATTCTCACCACACTTTGCAGAATCTAGAGTAACACATGCACTTAATAAATGCTAGGCATGTTTCAGAGCATGAACCTGTTTCCTTTCTAATGAATATTGAGTTTTGTGCATTTCATACAATAAATCTTAATCATATTTAGACTCCCCTCCCCCATCCACAATTTCCCCATAGTCCTCCCCCTCCACCAGACTTCATGAATTCTGTAATACATGTTAAGTTCTATCTGATCAAGCTTTTATACCCAGATGGCCCTCAGTGCAAGTTCATCTACTGGAGTCTAGTCAGCCTATCTAGAGTCGCTCCCTTAAAGAAGATCAACTTGGGGCTGGAGAAGTGGCTCGGTGGTTAAGAGCACTGGCTGGTCTTGCAAGGACCCTGGTTCAGTTCCCAGCACCCACATGGTGACTAACAACCACTGTAACTCCAGTTCCAGGGGGTCCAACACCCTCTTCTGTCCTCTGCAGCTATTGCACGGCACAGGTGCACTTATATGCATGCAGGCAATACATGCATACACCTAAAATAAAAATATTAAAAAGATCAACTCCGTCACCCATCAGTAATCAGTTGCCAATAGTTCCTCGGCTAAGGTTGGGGCCTCCTGCCCATTTCCCCAGCGAAGCTTCCTATGCAATGGCGTGATGCACAAAAAAGGCCACAACTGGCCAAGGTGTAGAGAGGACTCCTATATTAAACCTCACCCCCCTCCATGACTCAAGGACCATTGTGGAAGAGGGGGTGGAAAGATTGTAAGAGGTAGGGTTGGCACCTAAACATAAGGAAACAGGCTTCCAGGCCTCTGGGAACTTGCTTTATGAACTCGCAGCAATGGATTTGTTTCCTTAATGTTTTGGAGTGTTGGGATTTGAACTTGAACCTTGATCCTCTTACAGTTCTGATTTGAGAGCTGATTTTTGTAAAATAGAAGTCTGAAACATTTTACACAGGTGATACCTCCAATATCACAAATGATACAAAGATGAATACATAGTATGTTGAGTTAAAGAAATTGGGAGCTGGAGAGATGGCTCAGTGGTTAAGAACACTGACTGCTCTTGTAGAGGACCCAGGTTCAATTCCCAGCACCCGCATGGTGGCTAAGAACCATCCATAACTCCAGTCCCAGGAGAATTCAATGCCCTCTTCTGGCCTCTGCAGGCATTGCATGACATATGTGCACTTACATAACATGTATGCAGTACACTCATACACATATTTTTGTAAAAATCGGTAAAAATTTTAAATGTAAACAAGAAAAAAATTGACATTTGAGAAACTATTATGGGGGTGGGTTATGGGCAATTGCACGGAGGTCATAAGAGCTGGCAGACTTTCATAATCATATTTAGCATCTTATATGGGGTCTTCTGGTTGCTTCTCTGTGGCTATGATAAAACACTGACCAAATGCAATTGGGAAGGAAAGGGTTGATTTGGCTTATGGTCCATCATCAAGGGAAGCCAGAGCAGGAGCCTGGAGACGGGATCTGAAGCAGAAACCATGGAAGAACGCTGTCTGCTGGCTCACTACCTCTGTGTAGTTGTCTTTCTTTTACTGTCCAGGTCCACCTGCCTGGGGATGGCACCACCCACAATGGGCTGGGTCTTTCCACATCAATCAGCAATCAAGAAAAGGCCTCACACACACGACCACTGGCCAATCTGATCTGCACATGTGAACTGGTGGTAATGGAGGCATGGAGCACTGGACCCATGCTGACTCAATCAGACAAGGGCCCGGAGTGGAGCAAGTGAAATGAGTGGGCAGCTGGTCAGCTGGTTAGCTGGCCCTAGATGAAAAACTATTGGAAACATAACTGCTGGGTGAGGGAGAGGATACCTTACTTAAACTCTCTGGATGGGCTGACTAGACTCCAGTGGATGAATTTGCATCGAAGGACATCTGGGTACAAACGCTTGACTATATAGGATGTAAAAAGTGTATGGCAGAATACATGAGGTCTGGTGGAAGGTCTGGGGGGCATGGATGGGGAAGGGGGGGTCTAAATTTAAGAACTGTTGTATGAAATTACGAAAGCTCAATAAAAAATTTGTCTTTCAGAGACTAAGAGATGACCCAACACTTTCTGTGTAAGCATGAGGACCTGAGTTTGAATTCCCAGCACCCATGTAAAAAGCTGGGCATAGCTGTGCAGGCCTGTAATCCCAGAATTGAGGATTGGAGACAGTCCGATTCCAAGGGTTCCCGGACTAGCCAGCATGGCTGAAGCAGAGAGCTTCAGGCTCAGGAGAGTCATAAGGTAGAGGTTGATGGAGGAAGATGCTCAGTCCCTAGCCTCTGCATGTGCATGTACTCGGGCACACAATCACACACTTAAATGCATGTACCACACACACATGCACATGCACATGTAGGAAACCAGGATGGCATGCTTTAGGGCAATATGGATCTGAAACTTTAAAATCAAGCTACAATCCCTGCTGAAGGGACGGGCACTGAAAACAGCAGCCCTCAAATCCCTGTCTCGCAGAACACTGCAGGACTAGCAGGAGAAAAGTGGCCAGGTCAAAAGTCTAAGCTCCTTGCTCTGAGCATCTTGGTCAACAGCCCTCAGCCCACCTCCTTGTCCTGAACAAATAAACTCTCAGCTATCACTAGCTAAAAGAATAGGCCAGGTTAAAGGTTTACTCCTGGGCTAAAAGCTAAAAGCTTACTATGCTTTTAGCCCTAAGAAAGAAAACATTGTGGCCAATAAATTACCAGATAGGCACTGATAATAACACTGAGTAAAGGTTCAAGCATCCTGCTTTACAAACAGCCCCTAGCTGGTGCCAGCTAAAAGCTATATGTCCTGTTTCTTGTCTACTGGACCCTAAAATCTGCCAAACCCCACATGACTGCCAGTTCCTTGTAAAGTATAAAAACCTTCTGGATTTTTAATAAATGGCTTGTTACCAGACCCGCAAGCCCCAGGGTCTTTGCCCTGTACCTCTGATCCATCATCTCAGGTGGGGTCCCCCATAGATTGGCCACCACACGTGCACACATGCGCACACACGTCTTCCACTCATTTACAAAAACCCCCTAACGACAAGAGCCATACCTCATCCAAATGGTCAAAAAATGAAACTCAGTATAGGGACTTACAATTACTGAAAACTCAAGAATAGCAAACCTACAATATAGTAAACGGCTGCTTTTGATGTCTGACTAGAAAAGTGTTGACAAGAAATGGGACAAAGTCTATCACTGCTGAGAACTATTTCATGAAACAGTCATATATTTATTAAATAAATTTCACTATGAGTATAATTTAAGGGGCCAATAAGAGGGCTTAGTAAGTGAGGCACTTGCTACCAGGCCTGATGACCTGAGTTCAATTCCAGGGACCTACATGGGGGAAGGAGAGAACTGACTCCCACAAGTTGTCCTAAAACCTCCACACGTGAACTGTGGCTTGTGTGCGCTCCCCTGACCCACACATACAGACAATAATAATAATAAATAAGTGAAACATGAAGGAATATGATATCTTCATAATTAAAAATATAGAAATAAAAGATTTATGATCATCCAGAACCTGTGTGGTATGTCATATAATTTTATAAGTGAAAAATGTATTGAATGAAGATCATATTAAACTTGCTTTTCCATAAAATTCTTGTCATAA